TAAGGGATTATTTGGTATCCCACTTAGATTCAATTTTATAAATTCAAAAAATAAATTTAAGTTTAAAGCCACAAAAACTCATTTCTTAGGCCCATTTTAAGTCCAAGGTCCAAAGGAACTCTCCTCCCTCTCACGTCTCTCTCTCTCTCTCTCCTTTTCTTTTGTTAATTTCAACTTGGGAATCTAGGGAATACAAAACCCGCTTACAAAATAGCTTACAAAGTACAAAGTACAAAGTCTCTCTCTCTCTCCCTCCTTTTCTTTTGTTAATCTCTCTCTCCTTTTCTTTTGTTAAGTCCAAAGTACGATAAATTTCAACTCAAACTAGCTTACAAAACCCGCTTTTCCTGTTCTGTTGTTGATGTTTATGTTAGATTAAGTTTTACATATTCGGAAAAGTGCCAAAAAAGAAATCCAAACAGCTAAACAAACTACAAAAAGGCACAAAGTACATCAATTGACCCTACTTTATTCAAACATTAAGGAGTTCCTAATTGCTAGCCTAACTGAACTATATGGCTTCCAAGGGATAACATCATTAGAAAATTATCAATTCAGCTTTGGAAGAGTGCTACAAATAGAAGTTGATTCCAAGTATCTGGAACGCCGGGAAGACACCAGTGGGTGCAATCCGTGCCGCGCGAACCTCCATACCCATAGGCTGAAGGGTGACCATCTTTTCTTAATTGTGAAAGTGTTGTTATGTCAAGCAAATGAACTGACTTTGACACTTTGCGCATAACCCTTTCTAAAACAAGTTGTGCTGGATGTGTACCTCCTGGATATTGCGTCCCCAGTAGTGGCTGCGTTTGTCCCTTACAGTTCTCTGAGTTTGCATCACCCCATTCTCTTGGACTAGATGATCATTGGCACAAATAGAAAATGGTATGTTTGGGCAGATAAAAAAAAGAAGTTTAGAAGTTTGAAATTCCAAGTATGGGACTTCTTATTATGTGATGACTTTCTAACTCCTACCTTTAGCTAAATGCTGTGCTCAGTGAAGAGTCATTGGATATATATAAAGTTTAGCTTTGGACATAAAAGAGTTTTCATTAGTAAAAGTCTAGTTTTGATTTAGTCGTAATTCTCTTTCCAAAATTGAAAGAAGTCTCGAATTCGAATCTCTGTTTAGATTATTATCAAATAAAATAAAAAAACTTTATGAAGAGAATGCTAGCTTTTCTTCAATCATGGGAAGTTATAGATCAATATTTCCCTTATTATTTTAAGCAATTGTAATAATTAATTTAAAAAGAAAGGTGTTATGGTAATGCTACACTCCCACTTTTACTCTCATTCACTTTTTCTCTTTCCTACAATGTGCTTTGTCTGCTCTACTATATATAGAGGCGATAAGTAAGTTAAAGATTGGTTATTTCTAATCTCGGGCATTGAATTGCATTCATTATATGTATTGGTAGATTTAATATGCAACATACATGCAATAAAACTGTCTAGATTAGAAATATATAACCAATCCTTGACATAAAATACTTATTGGAGAATGCCCCATATATATATAACTACCTATCAACATGTATAACTTGTATAGATATGCTTATAGTATATTAAAAAAAAATATAGGAATTAAAGCAAGATATAAGAAAGAAAACATACGTACATGAAAGAGTTGAGGATGAGTACAAAACTATATCGGATTATTTTAAAAATATAAGCTAAACCCCATCTAAAACAGGTTTTAGTTAAATTCTATCTATTCTAGTTTTCTTCTTCTTCATATTTCTCATCTGAATCTTCTATTATTTATCTTTATGGAGCTGCTAGCTAGTGGCCCAATATTTTCTCTTTTCTTTCATTAAAAAAATAAAATAAAACCAATAAACAAAAAATATAAAATTTGTCAAACTGGGTCTTGATTTTATCCCTAGATTAGTGCATCTGAGGCCCGACCCAATTACTTACTTCATATGATCTGGAGAAACACCCTGGAGGAAGACCTGCGTTTTTCTAGAATCCACATTGAAGTCCACCCATGTAGCCCATGTCCTCAAAGCTCTCTCATAGGCCACCATGCGATCCATGTCTTTGTATGTTCTTCCTTTATATCGTACAAAATCCCACCTGCATTGCCACCAAAACATGTCCATGCATATGACATTTTAGACTTGAAATTTGCCTATTTACTGTTACTTAATTGCTTTCTTAGTTGTTTTATTAAGGGCTTGGAATTAAAAAGTAATCAAATGAAACTCCCATCAGCATATAGCGTTTGTTTTTTCTTCTTTAAACATTAATTAATAAATGTATTAAATGTTAATTTTTAGATTCACTCATCCTATAGTTTTGAGTCACACTACGGGTACTACATTTGCAAAACCAACTTAATTTGCATGTTTAATTAATTTTATGAAATGAATCATGCTAGAAATACTAAAGTTACACACCAAATTTGAGTCCTAAATGAAGTGCCAAACAAAATAAACGAGAAGTTTCTTAAATGTATTCTTCTCCAACAGGGTTACTTTTATAATGATGTACAAGATGTGTTATAACCCTAAGAAGCAGGGACATACCTTTAGTTTGGCAAACCTAGACTATAGCCAGGTGGCTTCTTTTTTCCAGCTAAAAAAATGAAATCCTAGCTCACCCAATTCAAATAACCTAACCTCATATAGTTTTCCGCGAGGGGGGGG